CATAATTACTCATTTCTTTGAAAGAATTTATTTTGTTTACCCCTCTAAAGTTAGTGTACGCATATTTTATAGATTATGTCCATAATTACTTATTCAAGCATAAAGTTATCAAAGCATTAAAAGGAAAAAAAAGATATGATCCTTTATTAAATTATTTGCAAATGATAAAGTTCTGATGTATAAAAATTAATAAGATATTCAGTGTTTATTACTACTTTGCTCTTTTCAGATGGTTGTGTTATTTAATAAAAACAAAAACTTGTTTATAAATAATCAAGACGGATCAACGTTTCATTTTCAGGGGAAAAAAATCAGTTCTTTAGTCCAACTTTTACTTATTGCAATACATAGATATATAAAACCAAGATACTTTTTAACACAATTCTCAAAAGTTCCCAAAAGCAAGTGCTTGAACCGAAAGAGCTTTTTTTATTTTACAATTTGGCTAACTTACAACTAGGGAAACATCATATTATGATTTTTACAAACTCGTGCGTTTATGGAATTAAATCCGAGAGGCTGTCATAGTTGCCCCGTTGGTAGAAGCCTCTATCGGTGATCGGAAGGTAGCGATTCAATTCCTTGCCGCGACAAACCTAAGACCTTAGAAAATTGTTAGCAATCCTTCCTTCGCCAAGCGCTTGGAATTTTTTTTTTGTTAAAGTACCAGGTCTTCTAGATGAGACATTGAAAATCGAGACCTGTGTCACGAAAAGCGCAGGATCGATAAAATTCATCACTGCTCAATAACCCAAATTGCAGAACACATGTTTAATTTTAAGTCCGTTTTGTAGTATTATCTGGTCACGCCTTTTATGAGTGAAATAAATTCGTCATGGACGTAAAACAACAACAGCAACAAAAAAGAACAGTCAATCGAATACTTACATTATTTCCCAGAAAGAAGATTTTATTATAATCATAGAAATAGTTTCATCTTTTTATTTCAAAAATTGCAGACATACATAAAGAGAATTGTATTTCATAATAAAAAAAATAGCTTGCGATAAAATATGTCAAATCTGGTTGAAATAAATTCATTCTAATTTTACGAGTTGCACATTATTGTTACTGTATGTATCAATTTTTATATTAAGGGAAACCGTTATAATATACTGTTATTTTCATAATTGTAACGACATGTGCGCATATGAAGGTGATAATTGTATATTCTTACTTAGAGAAGGAACTGACATAGAAAAATTGGTCATCTCTTTTATAATAAAGTTCAGTTGTTAGTTTGTTATTAAATACCTTTTTCTGGCAAAACACCCAAATATAAAACAGGTATTCCAGACTCTGTAGTGTAGCATAGATATCATAATAAATTGCAAAGAATAATAAGATGGTCTATATTTATATGCTTGATCCCAAGAGTCTACTGAGAGGTAACTTAATAACCTCTACTATTGTCACTTTTCCTGAACTTAACTTTATCATTCAATCCTCTGAATGGCATAGTTTCGCCTACAGTATAAAGTTCTGCTATTCCTTTAACGGAAAGGTCACTGAAAGTTCACTGAAAGGTGACTGGATGCACCTTTTGTTTCTTTTCATAAATAGCTACTGTATATCCATTTAAGGGAAAAAGGTGCAATTTTGTGAAACAATTTATAGCATCAGATCTTATGATTTTTTAAAACCTTATACAACCATTCCAGAAATGTCCTCACTGCTTCATGGCACAATGTGCAATCCCTTCTTCGATAAAAAAAGAATTTGGAAAAAGTTTAAAATTTGATTGGTCATCTAAAAAATTATTGTAATTATGTTTGTAAAAAGACTATGTATTCAAAAAGCTTGTTTTAAATATTTTAAGGGGTGTCTTCCGATCACCAATAGAATAACTTTTAAAATGTTAACAATATACAATACAGATGCTCAATTTGAAAAACAGGTTTTCTATCAATCTCTTGGAATCCTTGTGAGAACTACCTCAATTTGAACAAATCTGCATATCTTTACACATGAATGCCTGTTTGGTTAAAAATTACGTAGTGGTTTTTTCTATGAAGAAGGATGTGTTTCCTGAGGGACGTTACAGAGAGAACATTATACATTAGAAATCTTATGAGAGCTATGAGAATAGAAACTTAGTAGTTGTATCAGATATTATTATTTACAAATAATAATATCCTTTATGTGACGGAGATAAAGAAACTGTATTTGTTTTAGTTGTTATAGTTTATTTTTGATGTGACATATTTGTATTTTGGTAATTGTTTGATGTTTACAAACTATTTATCTTGGGATCAATTGCCTATTTTTAATCGATGACACGATTGTCTTAATTTACAGCCAATCAGCGTGGCTTCTCCCAATCACGTGACCATTGTTGTTTATTTACCAGAGGAGAAAGCCACACTAAATTGCAAGGGAAAATTTTGTCGAAAAAACCCTCCATCTATCCCCTTTCTTCCACCGTCTTTTTTATTATTGTTATTAATGTATTTGTGTTCATACTTTGCGTTCATTGTTTTATCCCACCCTTTTTTGATGGCACGCATATCAGTGCCTGCTTTATGGTATGTTTATTTTTAAGGGGGTCAGTTTGCATAATGCCAAAGATTTTTGTGTTCTTAGAAGTTTTTTCTAGTCTCTTACTATGTGAATTTCTGTTTTACGTCATTTACTTAAATAAATGACATTTTTTCACTTTCAATACTGTTGTTATTTTCTTCTATCCATCAAAAAACTAGCTCAGTTGACTTGGCTTCAGACTTGCAACAATAACAAAGGAACATAAAGTAAAATATACATTGACAGAATCTTTTATTTTAGATTTCATTTTAGCCTACAGTATTAACTGTAGACGCAAACATTAGGAGTACTGTAATTTAGTGGAATCGTTTAAATGATTGATATCGAACGCTTTTAAGGCGCATATAATGCAACTTCCTCAAATCTTATATATCATATGAATTTGGAGTAGGTTTATTTTACTCTGTTTTCTCTCTTGAAAGCCACATTTGGGCGTTTATTTTTTTTTTTCAAATCAACTATACAGCAGGGAAAGCTTACAAATTAATTCTAAACGCACAGTTGTTGTTATTTTACGCTAATTTAACGGGGTAGTTTCTCTTATGATTATTAAATTGAGTCAAACAATATACATTTTGTTGTTTCTAGAGTATTGAAAATGCAAATAGTTCCTACTGTGTATTCTACCGCGCGGTGACAAGTTTTCGCGTGTGTTATAGAAATTTGATTTCAAATGGATTTATATAAAGTAAATTACACTGAATGTAAATATAAATACATTATTAACAGTCCGAAAATACTTGCTTTTCAAATTTGATGTATATTAATATTTCGTAGTAGTGAGAGCTTAATTAATCTACAGGAGTAAAAAAGAAAAAGAAGTGTGAAAATTGGGAAAGTGCAAGAAAATTAATGCGTGGAACTGTATTGAGCATTTTAACTGAATTTGTGCATTTGTATAAATTATGTGTAAATATTATACAATTATGGACTCTTTCGGTTGTGAATATGGTTTAAAATATCCATATTACACTTTATAACTTCCGTGTTTTCCTTTTGTTGTGTGTAAGACATCGAACTGTTTGGAAAATAATCTTTCGATAGACTTCCCTAACATTTTCCTTCTCGGATACATAGCTCCGACCGTTGCAATATAATGGTTTTCAACGTTGGACGAGTGATTGATTGTGACGTCACAATGCCGCTGCACGCGCACTAACCCTGCGGTGAATACGGCTTTCAATCCAGTGAATGTGTAGTTTTATGAATTTCTTAAGTTTGTATAGATTTTATAGGGACTGTTTATAGACTATATAACAAGACATATTATAACACATCACATATAGATTATTAGTGCTTTTCAAATTCTAAAAATTCACAATTGCTCAGTAATATATTTTACTTAATATTCTATCTAAAGTTGTTTTTAGTATAGAAATGTTTAGTTTAGACACATTTTAAAACCTTCTTGCAAAAATAAATAGTTAAACAGTAAGAATTAAAATGTTTTTTTTTACTTTAGTCGAATCATTATTGTATTGATGAATTTGTCAATATTATATCTTTTCTATCAAAATACATGGAAAAAATAGATTCTTTCATAAAGCACCCCACAATTTGAAACCATGTTTCACAGAAACTTTTTGGGGAAAATGTTAAATTGTTTCGAGCTCTTGTTTGCAAAAGTTTGAGTTTATAGAGGTATTCATTTGTTACAATATTCCTTTGCAAAACCAGAAACTGCAAGCAGTGAAATTCTGTTCTTTTTGTGACATTTAGAGGAAGATCAAATATTCTGTTCAAATCTGTATCCACCCAGAAGTATTTCATTAGTTTTCCATTTCTTCATTGCCTTAATTAATTCCTCTTTCTTCTAAATTCGAATATCGTACATATCTTTACAGCATTTTATGCTATTGTAAAAAAAAAAAGGCGAAAGTGAAATTGACTATTTTCGTCTCCTCTTTAGAATCTGAACATGTCAAAATGTATATTACTGTTCCTTTAAAACCCACATAATTTCAAAAGTTTCTTTTTGCATCTATACACGTGATGCACACAAAGGTTACAAATTTTCCTTGGAAGTCAAACGGATCACTTACAAAAATAAAGCATGCATCAAAATAACATATCAAAAATAGAATTCAATTGTTTATTTTAATTCTTGGATTAATTCATATATTAAAAATAATGTTTTTTTGCTACCAGAGTCCATGATTTTGAACTAGTTAAGTAAAACCTCTTTCCAAATCTTCCAAATCTTGTTATTCCTTCCTAAAAAGAAAATATTGAAACATTATTTAGTCGTTCGAAAATTCGATCACCAGGCCCCGCCGCCATAACACATACTTAAGTCTGAGAATGTTCTCAAGTCTGAGAATTTTCTCAACTCCTCAATTCTCAGACTCAACCGCCGCCATAAAAAAGTTGAGTAACAAAAAAATTCTCAGAATCAGTTTTATTCTCAAATATTTGAGAACACAAAAAAGGTTACTTAAGTCTATTCTCAACTTCTCAAAATGGCCGCTGTGCACAGAAGAATCAGAAGAAATCGTAGACGTCGAGGGTTGTTGCCACGTCCAAGAGTGTTTAGGGACCGTGGAAATCCTTTAGAAGATTTGGAAGAAGAAGAAGTTTACCAGAGATACAGATTCCGTCCACAAACTGTACTGTTCATTACTGCTGAGCTTCATGACACTTTGGAATCAGACACAAATAGGAACCAGCCCATTCCTGCTCTCCTCCAAGTGCTAATTTTTTTAAGATTTGTGGCAACAGGAGCTCATCTCAGACTGGTAGGAGATAGCTTAGGAGTTTCCGAGTCATCTGTAGGCAGGACAGTCAAGTGTGTTGCATCTGCACTTATCACCATCCTCTGCAGGAGATTCATCACTTTTCCAACAGGAGAGATGGCATTAAGAGTGAAGGAAAGCTTTAGAAGATTGGCAGGTACGCTAGAAGTTGATAATCTGTGAAGTAATTTAATAACATTTATATATACATACATGTATAAAGCATATCAATTTCGGAAGACTACACTTCATGTATACAAGTAGTCTAATACATTGCAAATCACGTGTGGTGTTCAAAATAAAAGGCAAAATCTTTAATCTTATGATCAAGTATGTATCCTCCTGTGGGTCTTCATACACATATTCTTGGCATTTCAAGATAATGACTTTTCATACATCCTGCACGTATCTCAATAGTCAATATTTTTCGTATGAACTAGCACTCATATTTTTTTTTCTTTCAAAAGCTATTAAATTAAATTGTACATATTTCTGACCTCTTTGTGGTTGCATACTCTGTAGATTTAGAGGATCTTAGCATTTTAAGAGAAAAATAATGTTTATCGTGTATAAAAACAAACGTTAGCAGTCCTGACACTGCACAGTCAATGTCCGCTTATGCTTTGCAATGGAGAGTTCCAACTAAGGGAAACTGCTGGGAATATGAGTGGTGGATCCAACATATTTCAACAATCAACACTCAGACAGAAGTACAATTACACCCAACAAACAACACTGTTTCAATGTATTTACATGTACTTTTAGAAACAAGTGCTTATGCAAAAAAAATATTACAAGCAGGCAATAGGCCTCAATGCTCACCTGAGTCACATTGCCCCTGCTCAATGTTCTTAAGAATATCCTCTTTATTATATGAAAAAAAATTTCATATGATAAAATCTTACCCATATCATGGTCCCACCCAAACCCCATGGGATGTGATATACCTTCACTTGAATTGACAGCATGGTTGCTTCATTGTCAATGACTAACACATTATAGCCTTATTGTTCTGGGAATTTTTTTTAAATACATTTTTTCCTGCATACATGCATTATGATAAATTTTATCCCAGCAGTAACCTTAAGGTCTATAATATGAAGAAAAAATAGAATCCACACAATATAGGAATATTTGCAATCAAATCAATATATTTTTAATAAATTCTTAGTGTACTTTTTCCTATGCTTATTTTTATGAAAATAATATTCACACAATATTACATGGTTAAACTTTGATCTCATTTTGTGGCCCATCCCTACCTGAATTAATTTTTTTCTGTAGGTTTTCCAAAAGTACTGGGGTGCATTGACTGCACACATGTTAGAATCTCAACCCCTAAGAAAAATGAAGCAGATTATGTAAATAGAAAGGGTTTTCACAGTTTGAACGTCCAGGTAACAACTACATGTTTATTATAATATTATTCTTATTATAGTAGTAATTAAATTAATTACAAAATTTAAAAGAAGATGTTCTGTATTATAATGCACATAAAGTTTTATTTCCACTGGCATTTGTAAACAATATAAATATATATTTTTTTTAAATCTTTTTCAAATGGTTTGTGATCCTAATTTTAGAATAACATCTTTGTGCGCCAGGTGGCCTGGCAGTACTCATGACTCCAGGATATGGAAAAATTCAACTTTATTCCAAATGTTTGAAAATGGTATGTGAAACATGCATACTAAATCAATTAACCTTCCCTATATCACCAGTGAATTTATCCAGGGGAGTGATTGGGGAGGGATATGGCCCCCTTAGAATTTTCTGAACAGTTATTAAATAGATAAAGTTAAGATCTGCTTGTCTAAAACATTCCAACTCTGGGGAATTAATTTTTATTTGATGGGGGGGGGGGTTACTCCCCCCTCCTAAATCTGTCCTTTTATACTATTTTATATTAAAGGGTAACTTGGTAAAAAAAAAAAAAACAAGACCATGCATATGACTAGATTGCACTAAGTCCTGTCAAATTTGCTAACTTTTTTGTAGGAGCCCATGATGGTCTTCTTTTAGGAGATTCTGGCTACCCTCTATCAAAGCACTTGATGACCCCACATTTGACCACACAGGCACCTAATGAAGAAAGATTCAATGAAAGTCTCTGCCGAACCCGTGTTCTCATTGAACAAACATTTGGGATCCTTAAGAGAAAGTTTCAAGCTCTTCACTTTGGAATAAGATCTACACCAGAGCAAGCAGTTGTATACATAACTGCATGCAGTATCCTGCATAACATTGGGATAGAAAGGGGAGACACCATAGTGTCCAGTGATTGCAGGGATATTAACATTAGAAACTGTCTGCAGCAAATTGTGAATGCCAATGGCCCTGTTCCCCCTGCAAGAAACGAGGGTATTTCCAAACGGATTGCCATCACCAATGGTTTCTTTTAAGAAAGACGTTTTGAGGAAAACTTAACAAATTTTCCTTTTCACTATAAGAGCAAAAAATTTTTGTGACTCAGCAGCTTTCGTCTCGGGCATGTGCACCAGTAATTATTAACACACATCTCCCCACCACCACCACCCCTCTCTCTCTGTGTCTTGACACATCTATCACACATCACACAAGGGTTCTTTAAATGTTATCTACAATACATGTACATGTATTAACACCACTAACCCCATAGATCAAAACAACTAAAACTTGATGCATGATAAAGATGTCACTTAAAATCAAAATTTAATTTTGTCTACATTTCTCACAATGATAGTACATGTACTAATGCATTTTTTTTTCAAATACTATAGAAGCTGACTAAATATACATGATAATCATATTTTAAATTTACATTTCATCAAGAAAACAAGGATAGGAGGTCTGAATATCTAAAACAAGTTTCTGTTTTTTCAGTACTAAAATGTCTTTTTTCAATGCAAGAACCTCCCTTTCTTCTTTAATTTTAAGAATTTCCTCTTCTAATCTTTCATTATCCAAAATTAAGTTTGCCTCTTCTAATTCATCAATCTTCCTTTTTCTGGATTCATTACCTGAAGACATTAAAAAATAATTATCAGAAATGCATATAAATACACAGTTAGGAGTACTACATACATGTCTGTGCTAATCCATTGGATGAGATTATTGTTTCATATTTTCTTCTTTGCTTAATTTAGTTAAGAAAACTTATAAAACTGTTTATGTTAAAAAGAAAAATAAGTGGAGGTGTTAACATACAAATTAGGTTGCATTGGTCATATTTGTGTTGCAAAGAGAGAGAGAGATAAATTATCTTAATTATTTGGTGTAGTACATATGTATGTGTAGAAGTATTTGACATAAAATCGAAAGAAAAATATATAGACCTCTCTTTTCTTTTTTTTTTGTGATGATTTTGTTTGTCTTCCTGAATGAAAAAAGAAAAGCATTATAAAAATGTATTGCAATTTTTTTTAAAATTAAAGCTTAATGACTTTAATTTTTCTTTTTTATGAACTGAAGGTTATCACTGTGGAAACAAAATTGATACAAACAAGAACCCTATAAACACAACAACCAAAGTTTTCTTCATTCACGTGAAAACCCTGTTACACATTGACGCCCTCTTTATGGCAGCTTATGGCCAAGGATAAAGATTTTCAAAAGTAGGTAAAAATCCGAGGTCAAGGTCATGATTTGTGAGGTCAAAATTGTAGGTCTTGTCACAAGGAATACATGTGAAATATGAAAGACTTAACATCATTCGTTTAAAAGTTATGGCCAAGTCTAAAGTTTTTGTGGACAAGCAAACCAACAGACCAAAAGATACTTAGTATATGCCCCCCGAATCTCTCAATCTTGAGTTATGTGGGCATAAAAAAGAAACCAATAAGCCAGTAGCCATGGGCAACATCTCTCACCTTATGTTTTTGTTCCATTTGGTTTTCAAGGGAATGAGGAATAATCTTTTAAAATATTTTCTTCCAAAGAACAGCAGGGCAAAGGTGACTCATGGGAGTGTTGTAGCCCATGGGCCTCTTGTTTAATCATCTCCCCTACAAACTTTAAAAGAATCTGGCCCTTCATTTAAATAAATTTGAATTCAACCTAACAGTACTTGGTGCCAAGTTTACTTGGGATTGCAAAGACTACGCACATACTCTGCCATATGTCACATACGCATGTGAGTTAAGGCTAGGTATAGGCGTTTCTATGTAAATGAGCTACGAAAAACGCATAAGAGGTATATGTATTATTCAGAGAAAGTTTTGAGTTATTTTCTTATGCATACTTAGTACCCACGATATGTTAAAGCCAGTACACATTATGACGTCATATTATGACGTCACTGATCTTACCTACTGGAGGTAATAAAACACATCAAGAAAACAGCTGCGGCACAAGGGTTTACCCTATTTATTTTTACATAAAAATTGTACAATGCTAAGAAGAATATTCTATAGATTAATAAAACTGCTGCACAAATCTTAGGCATTTTCTCATTTGATCGGAATTTGAGGAAACTTATACCGGACTGTACGTTTTTAGCCTTATTCAACTTAAAACTTTACTAATAGAAATTATACAACTCAGTTGTTGATATTTGTGCAGCAATACCAGCAAACTTTGGAATATTTTGCTTCTAAATATACCTTGTTTCAGTTAAATAAAATAGAGCGTGCCCTTGCGCCGAAGCTTTTTTGTTGATGCCCTTTATTATCTTGTGTAGTAAAGAACAATGACATCATAATATGACGTCATAATGTGTACTGGCTATCTCATGTCCCGGGTACCAAGTATGTATTAGAGAATAAGTTTTAACTTTCTCTGTATGATAGATATAGTCCTTAGGCATTTTTATTAGATTATTTGCATAGAAATGCCTATACCTAGCCTTAACTCACCTGTGTATGTAATACTCGTTTTACCTTGCAAAGAACTGGAGCTGAATTCCAGAGATTTTGATGTCCATGGGTTTTCAGTCGATGTACCTTTAACTGAAATCAAGGAAATACTAATTGTAGCTACAGCAATTAGTGATGTACCAATTAATTGATTAAATCAATTATCTAATCAAAATGGTCCCCGATTATAGGTATTCAATTATAATTTTGATAATCAATCAAACAAAATATTAGTTAAAAGCAATTATTCCTATGATTTTTTGATTCAGTCTTCTCTGGATTAAGTAATAATAAATGAATCCAATGATACAAAATACATCAAAAGTGCATTTTAGACATCACTCAATATCAATTATAGAGAATCCGATTATTCCGATTAATTGACTATGAAAAAAAATTCCAATTGCCCATCACTAACAGCATCATTACATGTACATGTATCCTTTATATCAACAGGAGTAGTGATACTACTGTGAAAATCCATTCTTATTTCATAGCTATCACAATATGACGTATGCATTATATATATATATATATATATATATATATATATATATATATATATATATATATATATATATATATATATATATATATATATATATATATATATATATATATATATATATATATATATATATATATATAAACTTTTTTTGTGTACATTTTCTTTCATGCTAACCATGTAGCGTTTTGTGTAAGCTTCAAAGAGTTTCGGGCAAACCATGAAATGAGCATATGAGAAACATTCGACTTTCATGTAAGAACCTTGTGAGAAACTTGCAACTTTCGTGGAAGAATCATATGAGAAATGTGTAGGATTCATTTGGAAATCATTTTATTGTAAATTCTGCTATCTATGGGTCAGGGTGTCAAATTGTGTTGTTTGTAAATAATATAATTTTGACATAGTATACTGCTTGTACAGGTATTTTAAAACTGAAAATAAGACAACAATGCAGGAACAACAGAATAAAATTACACGGCAATGTGTAATACATTTGTATGCTTTTATTTTTTTCTAAAAAAAAAAAGATGGACAGAAAAAGTATTCAACTCAGTTAATTACGTACAGCAATTCTAAAGGCAATGAGTTCAATACACTATCGAAACAATCCTAACCTTTTCTCTTATTTTCAAAGAAATCGTTTTCATTTTTTTTCCCTTCAAATGAAAATTCATCAGGACTTTACTCTTTGTTCCTTAAAAATATATTGGAGTCTTCTTTACACTGTGATTATGGTAATTTAAAAACAGCGAACACCGGGTGAAAGGAATTGAAAACCTGTTCTGCTATTATCTCTTGTCAATCATGGCATAAATGACACCCGGGAATTAAGCATGAGTTTTAATTTGAAAAAATAAATGGTTTTATTAGTATTTAATGGGTGCAAATAACATGAAATCGGGTGATTTCCATCCAGTGTCTGATCCGCCAAAGTAATTTCCACCCAGGTCATTTCTCTCCTAGGTCATTTCCCTCTATTACCCGGGTCATTTCACTCCACAACCCAGGTCATTTCTCTCCTAGGTCATTTCCCTCTATTACCCGGGTCATTTCACTCCACAACCGAGGTCATTTCACTCCTAACATAAAAGTTTTCGGTTTATCTATGGAAATGATTTTTAAAAGTATTTTATTTATTTCCGATTTTAAATTCTGTTTGTATTATTAAACTACATGTATTAGTATTCTCATACTAGCCCGAGTTATACTAATACAATTATTATTTGAATAAGTATTAATATCTGTAAACATTTGTGGGTTAATTAATTCTTATTCATTTATTTATTCTTGTTTAATGATTGATCAATGAAATGTGAACGCAGTAATACGTTTTTTAAAAAGTAACTATATGAAATCCCGCGCAAGCCCGGGGAATTGAATTTTATAACCGCTGACTGATTATTTTAAATAATATATATCTTAAGTTTCTTCTGACAATTAATTACAATTAATTACAGGCGTATAGCAGGAAGAAATACGTTGTACAAAATCCCACAGTTAGTTTAGAAACTAACTTAAAAACTATCATTTTCATTGACGTTTTCTTTTTACGTGCAACTTTATTTTGACACCTGTTCTACTATATCATTACTGTCATACTTTGGGAACTCTGTTTTCATTTCCATAAGAGGTTAAAGAATTGGATATGCACATATTTGGGGGGTAAAAAAGTTTTTTTCACCCCCCCCCCCAGTATTTAATATTTCAAAAGATTGTAGAAAAACCACTGTAATGTATTGATTAAAGCATACTTTTTGATAGCTTTAGTAAAAATGTGAAAACCTAGAATATGACACTTTTTCTTCTTTATGTTAACAATAATTAATTCATCAATTGACTTTTCTTTTTAGCAAGTTTATTACTATATTTAAAATGTACTTCGTATTCGTTGCCATTATGCTCTTATAATGGCGAATATGCACTAGCACTACTATCAAGACTCCGATCAAGACTCCGATCAGATATTCATAAAAGGATTTGCACATTTTAATTTGTAATCAGTAATCAAAACTTATTCACTCTATATTAGTTAAAACAAATTTTTGATCGAATAATTCATTAA